TTCAACACCACACTTGCAAGTTGATTTGTGAGTTTACATTTTCTTCATGAATGCTGCCTGACATCATGAATTCATGATGTCAGTCAGCTATTGAGGGGGTTAGCTCCTGGTTGGTGGTGCTTCTGTAACAGAGGTCTAGCAGTTAAGAATTTACTTTTCTTCAGATACAGGATATGTTTGGGCATGTACTCTTCACCATTTTCCTTGCAAAATTAACTTCAGTCACTGTCAGATGTAATTCAAAATACTTACTTATGAGGTCTCACAGAGTCACTCACTGCAGTTGTTGCTCATCTATAAGGGTTGTCTAGTCCAACCTCATTCTTAGACAGGGTTACCTACAGCAGGTCGCTCAAGGCTGTGGTTCATGAATTTTTAAATATCTCCACAGATGGAGACTCCACAGTGACTTTCTGCAACTAAATTTATTTTTTTCTAATATTTAAATTGTATTCCCTGTACATAAGTTTGTACACATTATCTCTTCTCCTGTCACTGGGTACCTGTCTGTCACCCTCATATTCATTCTGTTTCATTGGGTGTTTATACATACTACTGGAACCCCTTGAACCTTCTCCAGGCTAAGCAGTTCCTGCTCTCTTGGGCTCTTCTTATGTCAAAGATCCTTGAGCATCCTAAATGTCTTCATGGCTGTCTCACTTCTTTGCTGTCTCATTCCAGCAGCTCCATCTCTCTTTTGTGTCTTGAAGCCCAGAACTGGGTGAATCACTCCAAATTTAGTCACAACAGGGCTGAGTAGATGGGAAGGATCTTTCAACCTTTCGTCAACAGTGCTCCTAATGCAGCCCAGAAGACAGCCTTCTCTGCTTCAGAGGTCATGGTCAGCTTGTTGTCCACCATAACGCCAAAACCTTCACTGTAAAACTGCTTTCCAGACAGATGATTTGCTATTTTGCTGGGGAATGTCTCCCACAGGTACCTGAACAACCATATTACTCTTTTTCAGGTACTTAAGGATGATTTAACCCAGCAAAGCTCCCACGAATCTGTATGTCATATTTTAACCTGAACCAGCACCAAGCACGATGCAACTGCTCACTCACCTCGCCACCAGCTAGAAAACTTGTTGGTTTGAGATAAAGGCAACAGGGAAAGCAAAAGCCATACATGCAAGCAATGCAATACAAGGAATTAATTCACTGGTTCCCATGATCAGGCAGTGTTTTGCATTTCCAGGACAGCAGGGCACTCTCATGCCTCACAGCGACTTGGGAAGACAAACATCACTCAGATGTTCCCTCCTCCCTCCTTCTTGTACCCAACTTTAAATACTGTTCTGGAACATCCCTTTGGTCAGTTTTAGTGACCTGTCCTGGCCATGTCCCCTCCCAATTTTTCATTCACCCCCAGCTTCCTCACCAGCATGGCAGTACAAAAAGCAGAAAAGGCCTTGTTTCTGTATAAGCCCTGCTCGGCAGTAACAAAAATGTCTCTATCGTAACTGTATTCAGCACAAATCCAAAGTGCAACCCATAAGTAGGTCTCTCTGAAGAAAATTAACTCTACCTTGGCCAAAACCAGCACATCATAGCTGAGTGCACCCATAGTATTTGGCTTAACACCTGATTGTTTAGCTATTCAGCCTGTATGACTAAGGGAATTGCTATTACTTTGAAATAACTGCCATGCCACTTGTTTTTACACCACTTCTGGGACTTTTTTTTCATGAAAAGTTTTTTGTTCTTTGAGGGCAGTTTTTATTTTGTTCTTTGAGAGCAGGGCCCTGTTTGTAACCAGAAAGGTGACAGTTGGCAAATGTTGTCCTGGAGCTTTAGCTGTTTCTGTTTCCTTTCTGTAGCCTTGCCTAAAGATGTTAGAAATAATGTTGATTGAAACTCTATATTGATTAATGAATAGTGTGTCAGTCTCTGACTTCTCTTTGTGTCAAGCTATATGTCATGAGTATTTCATGAGTGTGAAAGGCAAAAAGACAAAATAAAGACAAACCCCCCCAAACAGATTAAGTGTGTCCATCCTCTGTTTCCTTGGAAGCTTCAAAAGTGGCTTAAGGAGAGAACAACTACTCCTTCCTTTTGCTTGTGGCCATAACTGATGCACCTCAGTTGCACATAGATGAATTCTCTGGAATCTTTCCTGCTGAACTTATAAAACCATAAGCTGTTTTCCAGGGAATGTTAACAACAACATGTTTAGGATGAAGAACAAAGGAGATGGGGAAAAAGCTTTTCTAAAAGTAACACAAGAGTCCTTAGTTAAAATTTTGGTTCTCATAACACATTTCCTTCCAATTAGTTAACAGTGATTGTGGTTCTCATAACACATTTCCTTCCAATTCGTTAACAGTGATTGTGGTTCCCATAATACATTTCCTTCCAGTTAGTTAACAGTGATACCACAGTGCAGCATTTTGAATACTTAGAAGGTGACTTTGAAATCAGAGGTGAATTAAGAGAATCTATGAGGATCCTGATCCATTCTTGTTCTTCTAAGTGTCCTGTATGCTGAATGGTTGCAGAACAAAACTCCTTATGTATTTAAAAGCTTGGTCTTGCCTAAAAAATAAAATAAAATTATGCAATTTCACTTCTTATGTGATGAGCTGAGCTGACATTATAGCTTAATGATAGCCTAGAAGTACTGCTTAGAATGGAAAAAAATATCTCTGTTGCTGAATTCTGTTTCCTAAGTAACTAGAGTATTATACTGTCTGGTTAGCTCTAACTGGAGACAAGCTAAAAAGGGATAAACTTGATAGATTATTGGACCCAAACGAGTTTGATCATCAGTGGAGAAATCTTTTGAGGGGGACCCAGAAGTTAAAGGTGTTAGTGAGATTTGTGATCACTGGTGTTCTCACAAAAAGGCTGCTTAGAGAGACTCCTGCAGTAGGTATATGTGACACAACGAGGCTGTATTTCCTTTTTGCTTGCTGTGAAGTTTTAGCTTACTTGCAATTTCAGTTAGCCTTCCTTGCACTACAGGAAAGAAATTGCCAGATGGTCTGGTAAATTTTCCGTCAATATGCAGGAGTTTCTGTGTTACTCTGATCCTGCAATGAAGGATGCAAAATGGTGGTAGAGGAAGGCTGATAGTAGACAGGGACCCATGAGTATTCCAGGAGGGGTTTATCTGGGGTCCTTAGGTGTCTTTTTTTTTTTTTAAGCCACAGATTTCCTAGCAATGGAAGCGTCAAGAGGTTTGTGGTTAGGCAGCTGAATACAGACATTCATGTTTACTGTTGTTATTTCTGACCTGGCAAAAAAAACCAACATTGTGTATTACAACCAGATCTTGTAAGGCTTAAAATTACCTGTTTCTCCATGCTTCTCTGTGGGAGATGTAAAGGCGACATTTCTATGTCACATTTTGGAGGATTGGAGGGTTGTTTTTGATTCAGGGTTGCTTTCAGCTTAGGGTTATAGGAAAACATTTAACCTGGAAAAGAAGTGTGGAGAAAAAAGGGACCTGCTTACCTCTTTACAAATTCCTTGGTGGTTATTAGAAGCAAAAGTTGATCTGATAAGTGCCATCACTATGGCAATTCACGAGGAATCATTGTGACATGTTGCAGATGTTTCTTTCCTTAAGGATCAAAGTTTTACAATCACTATCCCAGGAACTGATGTGGAAAGCAAGAGCAATCACAGTCCTCCAGCAGTGTTGACACAAAAACAGTAATTTATAAAGGGTTGTGAAAAACTCTTTCCTTCATTTAGACTTTGATGAAACCTACAATTAATTGGCAGGTCTTTGATACTGTCTCCTTCCAGCCCAAGCTTTTGTAAAGGCCAGAAATCTTTGCTTTATGGAAAACAAGAGATGTTGAATATGTGTAGTTGGGACTATATGTAAGAACAGGGCTACCTCAGATTAAATCAGTTAAATCTCAGCCAGTGACGAGCTGATATGGAGGTGTCCTGACTCAGCATCTAAGGACCTACAGTGTTTTTCCTGGATGAAGGAACCTCTTTTAGTAAAAGATGCAGAGGGTTTTCCTGCTGCAGGCAAGGTCCAACACAGCTTCCAAAGGACATGTGTCTTCTCTTCATCCATGTAACCAGGCTTGGTCCTGCTGCTGCCCTCCAGTGCCCTGATGATGTTGCATCACAGTACATGCTCTTCCCCTTTCCTCAGTCTCTGTTTTTCTTCCTGGCTGGATGATTGACTGTCATTTGCTAATAAAATGTCTCTGAAATACAGGATAAATTTGTTTATGCAGCACTTTGGGGATAAAAGGGCATGCAGGAAACCTTCTCCTCATTTGCATGGTTGTGCAAGGGCTTTGCACAACAACAAAAAACTGCCTCAGGAGCACACAGGGAATGAAAATTTGAGAACAATGTGTATGCAGCAGTGGAACAAGACAAAGCTGTGATCTCACCTAGGTACTAAGCATTAGAGGTGGTGTTGTCCCAGAACTGATGAGAGACAAGAAGAGATACTGCTTCTTTCTGATCCATGGTAGGAGCCTAGAATTCATCAGCTCCAACTGTTTGGTAATGCCATGTGGTCCTACCTGTCGTAGGATGTGTAATTTCTGACAACAGTTAAGAGTGTGATTACTCATACCTGCAATCAAGATTTCAAATTCCTTTCCCAGCCCTGATGTCATTTTGTTCTGGATTTATTACCTACCTATTACATTAAAGACCCTTCAAAATCAATCTTCAGTCACTTGGCTGAGCTGATAAAGTGAAAATATAGTGTGGATGGCAGCTTGTCCTTTTCAGGACTGCAAACAAACTGTGCTGCCGTCATGCAAATCTACAAATTTGGTCTCTTCCTTTTGCTGCTGTGCATCACCTGCCAGTGCCAGGTAACTTACCTGATCAGGTTAAGTGCTTTGCCCACCTCCTTCCCGGGGGGAGAGTGTGCTGCCTCCCCAGTGAAAGGAGAAACCTTTCCAGATGCAGAGGGAATGACAGATGGCTCTGAGTGTGGGGAAGGAGAGAGTTGTCATCTGGGAGGGGGTCTCACCACATTCTGGCAGGGCTGATTTTCTCTTGTGCTTTCTCTAGGGGCAACCAAAGACATGGGAAAGATGCTGGGTGGGGATGAGGAGAAAGACCCAGATGCCGCTAAGAAAGAAGAGGAACGACAGGAAGCCCTTCGGCAACAAGAGGAAGAGAGGAAAGCCAAATATGCCAAGATGGAGGCTGAAAGAGAAGTTATGAGACAAGGGATTCGAGACAAGGTAGGTAACTGGCTTTCAACACACACTGGTCAACTTGTAATTACCAGTGAAGAGCACCTGTTTTCAGCTGATTTGTGACTAGTTCCCTTCCCTAGGCATCTGGATAGAACCAGGTAACTACTCTGCCACACTGAACTTTCTAATTTTGTGCACTCTTCCTCAAGCCTGTTCTTGTTTAAATACACCTCCCTGAGAGCAAAGCCCTGCAAAGCTGAAATAGAGAGTGAGGGTGAGGGGAGAAACCCACCTATTTTTCTCATCATCTATTAAGCACTCACAATATATGAAGTATTAGAGGCTTCCTTGACCATTTGAGGATGCTTTCCAAGCTTGCATTTGTGGTTTGTGAGAAGAGTCATACTCCAGTGAGTTTCTGACAGTGAGTTTCTGTCACAGGTATCTTCTGTATTGATTCCAAAGCTTTATTGTGTTGACCAGTGATATGGGACAAATCTACTCTACTGTTAATATTTAGGCTTCTACCACTTACATGGGATTAATCTGAAAGAAAGTTTTTAAACATTAACTATTAGGGATTGATGTGTGGAGGGAGAAGACAGTTTTGATGCCTCACCCTCAGGGCCAGGTCAAAGATGTTTCTTTAGAATAACACATTTGTAAGAAGATCTCCTGATATTCAGATATCTTGGAAAGAAATGTGGGCAATGGTTGGACAAGGGGTTTCTAATGATGAAGGCCTGTCAGGTGACTTACATGATGTGGCAAAGAAAATACCTGTAGATTAAACAAGAAAATCTTGCTTGAGGTGTTGTCCTGTGCAGTTCCTACCTCTGTGCTCTAAGAACATGTCTCAGAACAGACATAAGCAAAACTATATCAGCATTGGGCCAAACTTCTGACCCAGTTCTTACGATTCATGATGGAAGCATGAATGAGAGTAAATTTCTCTGGAGGCACAGTGCAGCTTGCAAAGAGTTACTGCAAATTGTTCTGCAAATAAAGAAATTTTAAATTATGCTTCTAAGAAAAGAAAGGACTTAAAGGGAATTGTCTACCTTTGACACTGCCAGAGAAAGGTAACCATATGGCCATTTAAAAGAGGCTACTGGTTGACAGAAATGCAGAACCTCTACCTGGTCAAAAATTGTTTTATAATCATGGAATCATAGAATTGACAAATGGTTTGGGTTGGAAGAACCTTAAAGATCGTCTAGTTCCAACCCCTCTACCATGGGTAAGGACATTTTTCACTAGACCAGGCTGCTCAGAGCCCCATCCCACTTGGCCTTTAAGACTTCCAGGGATGGGGCAAAAAAAAAAAAGCTTCTCTGGGCAACCTATTCCACATCTGAAGAAAGAGTTTTTTCCTGATATCTAATCTAAACCCATCCTCTTCTAATTTAAAAACCTTTCCCTCGTCCTCTCACTGTGTTCTTCTCTCTCCTTTTTATAAGTCCAGTCAAGGTGTGGAAGTTTGCAATGAAGTCTTCCTGGAGCCTTCCCAGGCTGAACAACCCCAGCAATAATGTATTTAATGAATATATATCTAGAGAATATCAATGTGTGCATAATATGTTGAATGTGTGTTTACAATAGAACTGTTTCTAAGCAATGACAGAAGTCACGAGGGAAAAGAAAAAGAGTAGCAAATTTCTCAGTTGCAGGCAAATGAGCTAATACCCAGTTTTCACTGGTGACTGTCTCTTCTGGACCACTGAATTGTTCTCAGATGTAGATAGGGGTTGCCTTTTTCTTGCTGTTGGGAAAACTGCTATAAAAGCATTGAAAAAAGTAGGAGATGTTCTGTGTTACAATTTCAAGGTGATGTCATTCATGAGTAGGATGCATACATGCATATGATCCTGGCAGCTCTCTGGACTTTGCTGAGCTGGCTGAGCACTGAGTGGCAAAATCTCTTAGAAATGCACTGAATCCTTGAAAATTTGTAAAGGAGTTAGCTCTGAAGAAAAGGAGAACAGGAATACTTGGAGGAACATTATTGGACCTCAGTCAAGGCTCTGGACTGGTGTGGTGGAGTACCTTTGATATTAGCATCAGGAAGTCCTGCTTTGGGCAGGGCATCTGGATTATGAACTCATTTTCCTGTGGTTTTCTTTTTCTTGGGAATAATCCCAAGTAGGATGCATTTGAAAGATGAAGATGTTTTTGGCAGAATCAGAAAAAAATGGATAAATCTGTAGAAAGAAGCTGTATCTCTTCCTCTTTCTCTTCCTCTTCTCACCTTGTCCTGACAAAGAGATGGATTTGATGATATATGACTGTCTTCTAGTGTGATGATTGGTTGTTGGAAATATGAAACAAATGTTGAAAGAATTCAAAAAGAGCTGGATTTTTTCCTTCATTACTTGATTATTTAGCAGTTGCTTTCATGTCTTCTCTAACTCCAGTAAAACAAAAATGCAGAAAAGAAGAAAACTGAAACACATGTTCTGTCTGCTATGTATACAAGTTGCTGTTAGCAGGTATGAATAAAATCGAAGACATTTTAAGTTAGAAAGCTCTGTTATGGTATTTGCTCATTTCTCGTGTGAGAGAGTGAAAAATGAGCAATTAGTTCGAGCGACTGAATAGGAACAGATTATTTATGCAGAATAAAAGTTTGAAAGTGTGTGTCATAGGCTATGAACCCACAGTCACAAATATTCCTTAGTGCAGCTGCAGGATGTTAGGGAAGCAAACCACGGAATCACAGCTTCAGCAGTGGGTTCATATAGCTCTAGGTGAGGCTGGCAGAAAGGATGGACTCATCATGTTTGTTGTTTTTGTCTTTTTGCCTTGGCTTTCCAACAGATGTTATGAAAGCACTCTCTTGTTTAGGGCTTCAGGAAATGTGGGAGCTATGGTAGAGCTTAAAAGGAAGGATGACAGATATCACAGATACATTCCAGCCTGTGTTAACTTTTAAATCCAGTCTGTTAAATTAAGACATGTATGCCCTCAACCTGGCATGGCAGCTGAGAATAGAAATTACCTAGGGAGAAGGTAGTATGAATTACACAGAAATTACTTGTTTGGGTTCCTCCCCCCCCCCCCCCCCCCCCAATTAAAAATATGCTGCATTTTCATTTGGAAATGAATTTTTTAGGGATAACATTTGAACATGACACTTTGTAATAATGGGACCACCAGTTGTCTGAGCTACTACCCAATTTCAAAGTCCAGTGTCTGGTAGTGAAAATGGATTGAAAAAATATAAAGACCATACCTGGGGTATAGTCCAGCTTCCTCCTTCCTCAGAAGGTGCATGCAGCTAACATTCTGATCTGATTTGGTTTTGGTCTTAACACTAATGCCTCACAGATCTTCTGGGCCCTATCCTGGCTGTCCCTGGGGAGAATTACCACACCTGAGCAACACAGGCATGACTACTGAGAGGCCTCCAGTGCCCCTTTGTCTGGCAGGTGAGGCTATGGATAGCTAATATCCCTGTTACCTTGCTAATAGCAAGTACAGCCCAGTCCTGAGGACCCCCTAGTCCATGCTTGGTAGTTAACACTCTACGTGTCTTAGTGAGACAATGTCCACAGTTTGGCTTCCTGAAAATCTCACACAAGTTTTAGGCAGTTAGCATTGCTGAATCCCTGTTGAAAGGTAGCAGAAGCTCAGAGATGTCCTTACAATAGTGGGTTTAAACCAAAAGGGATGGAAGCATGGTCCAAATGGCTGGAGTGCATGACAGAATTTAGGTTTAGGTCCGTACTTGAGTTGGAGCATGAGCTGCTTCAGTGGTTTTTTATATACTCAGTCCTCCGAGGGAAAGGGGGAAGTGTCTCTGGCCCAGCTTGTCTTTAACTAGCCTTACATACTGGTCATATGCTATATAGTACATGGTTTATAGCACATGGATTATGTGCTATAAAGCAGAAAATCAGTTACATTAATAAGGATTCCTGTGCTTACATTATTAAGGATTCATGTCCTACAGAGCACATGGTTTATGTCCAATAAAGCTGAAGTTTAATTATATTAATAAGGATTTCTGCCCTTCCAATGGAGCATGAAATCTGCATGAAAAACATGGAAAAACATCGTATGGGAAATTCTAATGTGGAAGAATTAAAACTGTCTCTGCAATTGAAATTGTCCTTGTTGGATGCTGTGTAAAGGTGTGACAGTGCATGATTGTTTGTTATACTTCTAGGAATCTCAACTCACCCACTGCATAAGACAAAATTAATTGTTTTCTTAATAAACAGATGTTCAGTATTTCATCTCTGTTGTGTCTTACAACATGTTTTCAATCTCTTTTACTATGCAATATCAAAATTCTGATGGCAATATAATGAATTTCCTCATCTGAGTGTTTAATTCTCTATTGCTATTATTACTATGCTTTCACTAACATAGCTCCATTCATCTTAAGCAGGATTTCTTCTGATATTTATCAGGGTGGGGGACAGAGATATTTAAGTTTTTCTGTTTGTGAGCTATGAATGCAGAAGGATTGTTATGTGATCTGAGCTTTGGTGGCAGAAGAATGTTAACAACTTGTTCCATCAGTGAGCCCTATGGCACAGCAAGAAACGCTCAGAATTGCTTGTGCCTTTGCAGGAAATAAAGGAATGGCAAAATCTGGGTTTGAGATGTGTTCCTACAGGCAGCATATCACACAGCAGGAGAATGTGCAGTCCTTGCTCTGTTTGAGTCCCTTCTGTCTCTGGGTATGTGCCACTAATTCTTCCCATATTTCTTATTGGGCCATTTAGTGCTTTCAGTGGTTAGGCAGTAAGATTCTCTGCAATATTTGGAATTGTCCAAAGGATCATTGAAGGGTTCGAGTTAGAAGACACCTTTAAAATCATCAAATTCCAGCCCCTCCCTCTTGTGGTCAGGGGCACCTGCCACTAGACCAGGTTGCTCAAAACCCCATCTAACCTGACACTGAACACTGCCAGGGATGAGGTGTCCACAACTTCTCTGGACAACCTGCGTCAGTACCTCACCACCCTCTCTCAGTACAGAATTTCTACCTGTTCTGTAACATAAACCTGCCCTCTTTCCATTCAAAGCCATTCCCC